TTGGCCGCCCGCCGGACCTCAACCTAGTCCGCTAGAATTCTCTTTATAGATATAGATTGTATGATGCAGGCGCTCCCTTGACATTGAGCGTCCCACCTACACCAATCTCAACAGGCTCGTCTCTCAGGTGATTTCATCGCTGACTGCTTCTCTTCGTTTCGATGGAGCTCTGAATGTGGATGTGAACGAGTTCCAGACCAATTTGGTCCCATACCCAAGAATTCATTTCATGCTTTCTTCATATGCCCCTGTTATCTCTGCAGAAAAGGCCTACCACGAGCAACTCTCGGTTGCAGAGATCACCAACAGTGCATTCGAACCGTCTTCTATGATGGTGAAATGCGATCCTCGCCATGGGAAGTACATGGCTTGCTGTTTGATGTACAGAGGTGATGTGGTGCCCAAGGATGTCAACGCTGCTGTGGCCACAATCAAGACCAAGAGGACCATCCAGTTTGTGGACTGGTGCCCAACCGGGTTCAAATGTGGTATCAACTACCAGCCACCCACTGTGGTTCCTGGTGGTGATCTTGCTAAGGTTCAGAGAGCAGTTTCGATCCAACCGGGATGATGCCCGACTTCACATATCTCCCGCACCCCCACCCGGACTTGGCTCTAGGAGATTCTTGAGTGAAAAATGAAGCCCCGAAAGTAAGCTTTCCAACAGTGGCAGCCTCATAGCTCGAATCCAAGTATGCAAATGAATAAGCCCGATTCGGCGAGGGCTGCTCAACTCTCTCTTACCCGGATTCATGCCGAACTTCTCCCAAACTAGTTTTCTCCTCTCCTTTCCTCTTTTCTTCACTCCAAACCCCTAAACAAAGTGTTTTGAAAGATTTTTCAAAGATTTCATCTCTCTGTCATTCATCTCCAACTTTGTCCTTGCTCGGTTTACCGAAAATCGCAACATTTACCGAAATGTGAGCGTCGGAACATCGTAGGAATTTTATTTTCAAAACATTTTGAAAGAGAGGATTTTAAAATCTAAAATCTTTTGATCAAGATTGTTTTGGTCCAAAAGGGGTATGAAGTTGGGATTTGACTCTCTCGTTGCTGACGAATTTGAACCTTTGCCCTGCACACCTTTTTACCACCAAGTAAACCATCAGTAATGCCCAAGTCTTAAGGGCGGTCAAAAATGGGGTGTCTATACCTTCGTGGATATCACGATTGGCCAAGTCTCTGGATTCGGAGCCCCATTGGTGCATGCCACCTTTGGGCCGATTAAGTCTTCGGATTCGGAGCCCTATTGGTGCATGACACCTTTGGGCCGACTAAGCCTCTGGATTAGGAGTGCCCTTCGTGGATATCCCGATTGGCCAAGCCAAGTCTCCCGATTCGGAGCCCCACTGGTGCATGACACCTTTGGGCTGATTAAGCCTTCGGATTTGGAGCGTCTTTCGTGGATATCACGATTGGCCAAGATATAAGCCTTTGGATTCGGAGCCCTATTGATGCATGACACCTTTGGGCCGATTAAGCCTCTGGATTCAGAGTGCCCTTCATGGATATCACTGTAGACACCCTATTTTTGACCGTCCTCAAGACTTGGACGTCACCGCTTGAACACCCGGTGATCATCCTTGTTTGTGTTCGTCTTGAGTTCCCGGAGGTCTCGGCTACGCGCCTTGCCTCAGGACCTCTCGACTCGACTGTTTTGTGTCTAATTTTGCACCAAACACTTGTGTTTTGCCTTGGAGGGGCAGGGAATGGCTTGTGAGCCATCCCCACACATCACCGGCCATGGCTTGAGGCCACCGGCTGTGTTTTGCTTCCACCAGCCAAATGTTTGGCCGGCCGGCACTATAGATGGTCGACCGGCCATTATTTTGGCCAAATTGCATTTTTGGCTGGCCGACCACTGTTCATCTGCTTTTGCAGATATTTTATGCTAGCTGGCATACAATTTTCTCCCCTCCATACACGTGTATGGAGGGATCTCCCTCTTGTTAGCTTTCCTTGGAAGCTTTACAAGATTGAATCCTCTATAAGAGGAGGTATTTTCTCCCTCTTTTAGGTTAGACAATATTTTCAGAGGGTTCTAGTTTTAGGGTTTGAGTTGTGTATCTATCCTATATCTATATCTCCTTCTCTTTTGTGTTTTGTGCGTGTTTTGTCTTACTTTTGTGCATAAACACCAACCATCACACCTTCTTACTGAGGTACTAAGAGGCTGTTCTTGAAGTTTTTGGCTGGTTTTGAGCTTAGAGAAGCTGCTGGACCATTGTTTGTGAAGAGGGTCATCAAGGGTAAGAACTTCACCCTTTATTCCCCATTCTTGCATAGTCTTTTTGCCTATCTTGCAACTGTTTTTGAGCTTAACATATAACATAGAAAAGTCTTGTTTTTATCTGCCCTAAATAGTTTCTTAAGGGTGTTTTAAGCTTTGGGGTTGTTTGACCCCTCTTAAGGCTTGTTTGGCCCTTGTTTTGTGCCATTTCGGTTGAGCTCCGGGACCATTGTGTTTGGACCTCCTCACCACTGAAATCTTGAGGGATTTCAGTGATAAGGATGGTACCTTGAGGTCCTAAGAAGGAGAGGGCCACCCCCTCTCCTTGTTGTCCTTGAAAATGGCCATTTTTGCCTCTTTAGTGAGCATCATGTTTAGGTTCATGCTGGCCATGCCTTGACTAATATTTATTCTTATTATGTCATGATATAGCTGTTTTTTTGGTTGGTTTTGGTACACCATGCTTTCTTAGCATACATGCCTTGTAATGCCATAATTTGCCTCAATACATGCATAGCATTTAGACTACCATGCTCATGTGTTTTGGCTAAGCTTTGTGAAGCTTACATGCATATTTTGATGTGCTAAGGGACTGTTTTAGGTCATTTGAGTCATTCATGTCTTGCTTTGTATAGCTACCATGCAATCCCTCTTGAATGCCTTAAGCTTTGGCCTCTCTAGCATGCCATCCTTGCTTTGTTTCAGTGGTTTGGAATCACTTGGTATGTTATTTCAGACCTCATGATGTGCTTATATGCTTGCATTTTCCATCCCTTTCATGCTTTGAAGAGTTGATGGCTTATGCTCCATGTTTAGGGCCTTGTTGATGTATATTTGTGTATGTGTTTTCATGCCTTTGTTGCATCATTTTGGCCACTAATTTTGGCATGCTTGAGAGCTGCCCATATTAGTTTAAGTCCATCCTTTATATGTCGTCACATGTTTACCTTGCGTGCTTGAATGACCATGTTGCATCTTGTATGCATGACTAGGTTGCATTGCATTTGGAATACTTGTTACCTCAACATGCTTATGTTGCGTTAGTCTTGCTTGCATGTTTGCATCCCATCCCTCTTGATCAAACATGATGGAGGTTGGGGCCCCTTTGTATGTTTTGTGTGCATTTCATTTTACATTGAAATTGCATACTTGGCCTTTTGGGCCACTATGCATCGAAATGCGCAATTGATGGCCCGAGGGCCGAGGACCACACTCCCTTGAGTCCATAACATGATTGGGAGAGTGGCCATGCACACATTTGCTTGAAATGCATTGCCATGCTATGTTTTGCCCTCTGTTGCTGTCAAAAATAGATTCTGCAGGAAGATTTGGCCGACCGGCCATCTGCAGTGCCGACCGGCCATCTATAAGTGGCCGATGGATTAATTTATGGTCGATGACCATTCCCCATGGCCGGTGACTATTCCTCACGGCCGGTGGTGCTCCACAGCACTCAGAGAAGCAACCCTGGGACTTGTGCAGTTTTCAGAGAAGCAGAACAGTCAAAGCAGAGGCAGCTTGTGCATGGCAGTGACTTCCGAGCGGAATCGAGCACGCATCGCATTGGACCCTCTTCCTGAGGCTGTTTATTGCTTAAATTAGATTAATTAATTTGCTTAATTAATTAGGTGGTCTGTAATATTTAATTAGCTTGTTAGTTAGTTAAATTGTATTATTCTTTCGGTCCCTCCAAGTGAGGGCTAACTTGTAATATGTGTGAGTGCGTGTGTGCATGTCTTCCAAACCCTCACTTCTTTCTCCCTTTTACTTACCTGCTTTTGATGGTTAGTATTAGGACATATTTAAATTAGCATTCCTTATGCTATGCATGCGTGTATCCATACATTTGTCCTACATGCACCGGCCTCGGTACATCATACTAACTACACTTGTATTTCAATTCCAAGTTGAATACCTGTTAGTTGCAGCATTTCACATGCCATCATTAGGATAGCTGTGCCTATTGTAGTTGCATCTCGCATGTGTTGCATTAGCCATCTCAACATGAACTAGGATCATGCACATGATTACTAACTAGCTTCTGTTCTGGCTTGGAGTACTCGGTAAGCATTTTTGCTTTAGCATACCGCATGCGTGTGAGTGTTGCCATAATAGCATGATTACCATGAGGCTAGCTGCTTATGTGATATAACTGCTTGAATGCCTGTGGATGGAGGTTGAATTAACTAAATTGGGATAACGCATTAAAACTGTGAGTTTTAAGCCCACTAGATAGTGGCAAAATCATCTTTTCTAAAGCCCACTTGAGGGTAGCGAAATCTACATCTTTAGCCTACTTGCGAGTAGCAAACCATTTTCAAAACAAGCATGAAATGTTTTGTTCCAATTTAGGCGATTTGGTCTATACTTGTTTGTTGTTCGCATAACATAGTAATTCTAGGCTAATAACCGGAATAAGAACACATAACGTTTTCAAAAACGGATATCACGGTTAGTAGAGGCCGATCTTCGGATCGGGCGAGAGGGGGTGCTCATAGCTGACCTTCCCCAATCGTACCCAAGCTCCCGAGCCGAGACAACTTTGGTGATGATGGACACGTGGCCTTTGGCACCGAGTTAGGGTTTCCTAAATTCCCCCATAAAAAATATTTAGGTGGCGACTCTATATCTGGTAAAGCAGTCCATGTTTGGCACTTCTTTTCTAAAAATCTGTTTTCTCAAAACGATTTGCCGGATTTGGACTCTTTGGTTCAAGATTAAAGACCGTGACACAAATCGAGTACGAACTGTAGGGTGAGGCCCTCACGCGGGGCGCGTCCACAATCACGATTGGCCAAGTCTTCGGATTCGGAGCCCCATTGGTGCATGACACCTTTGGGCCGATTAAGCCTCCGGATTCGGAGCGCCCTTCATGGATATCACGATTGGCCAAGCCAAGTCTCTAGATTCGGAGCAGCATTGGTGCATGACACCTTTGGGCCGATTAAGTCTCCGAATTCGGAGCCCCATTGATGCATGACACCTTTGGGCCGAATAAGTCTCCGGATTCGGAGCCCCATTTGTGTATGACACTTATGGATCGAATAAGACTATGGATTCGGAACCCCATTCGCGCATGACACTTATGGGCCGAATAAGACTCCGGATTTGGAGCGCCCTTCATGACGCAAATTAAAGCATACAAACGCTTAAAATGAAATGCTTAATTAAGTTGAGCCGGCAAAAATTGTATAAACAAATTAAAACATGCAAACATTCAAAATGAGATGCTTGATTAAGTACGCAAACATTCAAAATGAAACGCAAACATTTAAAATAAAGTATTTTATTAAGTTAACCAATAGATACATAGCTGACGCCCAATCTGTGTTGGAGCATTT